AGAAGGAGTGTGAAGAAACCTGACCCAGCCTCTGAGGAAACAACAACATGTTCCTGCAGGCTAAAGGTGAGTAACTTTGAATCAGCACGTGTTTTTGTGACTGGCTTTGGCAAAAACTAGAGTGAAAGTTTATGTTTCAAACAACAAAGCTCTTATAAGCTACAGTTCATCGGTCACAGACAGAACTAATCGTTGGGACAGTCGGGGTTCAGTGCAGAAAAACATAAGCGATCTGCTTATTTTCCTTGGGTTTGGGCAGACACATTCGTTCATGCGATCATTTTCCATCCCAATATTTGGAAAAAAAGCAGCAGCTTTCTCTGTCTCCGTGCCGCTTCAGGCTGGTGTGAGTGAGAAGCAGAAAGGAAGAAAGAAACAACTTTGGGTCAGCCTGTGGAATTATGTGAAAGCTGAAACCTCAAGCCACATTATGAAGTCTGAAGTCCCACTTTACTACACAGATAGTGGATGGATGGGTGTGTGAAGGAATAAAAGACAGGGGGAGGGGGAGGAGAAGGAAGGAGTGAATGAGGAAGAAAGAAAATAGGATACAGAAAAAAGAAAGCATCTGACTGATCTGCTTTCTATTAGTCATCCAAATCTTCTCCCGTAATACACTCGTTCCATAGAATTATGCTGACAAATGGGGAAAAATCCGGGGCAATTTGAAGTCCCAGACAACTGTTTGCACACTCCCCCATGTGAAAGAAAAGGAAAAAAGAAAAATGTGCATCTGGATAGAGACAGAGTGAGTGGCTTAATGACATGTCTGGCTATTCATATTCATTTGTATCTTCACATTTACAGAGCCAGTCGAGGTAAAAACTAACATTGTGTGAAAAATGACCCATCAGTTCAGTTCCAAGTAGTCTGAGACATCATAGAAGCAGTGGGTGGAACTAGCTGAACTAGTAGTTTTCAGTCTCATACACTGACTTCAGCACAATACTAACAAGTTTATCCAACCCAAACTCAGACTCCTACAGTTTCAGATCTATTGACCACTGTAGCTTTAGCGTGTCTGTGCATCTGTTTGGCAGGCTGGCTTGTTGTGAGGTGACTCTTAATTTGTGCACTATTTTAGCTATCACAGCAGTGCAAGTGAGTTTCAGGGCTATTATAATGACTGTCTTAAATCACAGAGTGAGAGTCTGTCACTGGAAATCTCTAAACAAAGATTTGATCCTGGCGTTGTCTCTCCCCGATTCTGGTTGCGTGCTGACCTCAGTTCTCAGTGGTTTTGGCTCAAGAAAAAGCGCCATCTCCATTTCCAGTAAATGTCATTTCATAGTTATTGCATTTCCACGGGACTGAGAAACAACATTTAACGTGTAAGGAGGACTACAATTAGTGTTTCTCGCAGACAGCATGTCGACAGGGATAAGAGACAAAAACAGCATTTTCAGATCTCGTCTGGCCTTGTCTGATGCAATGACTTGACCAGGGAAATGACTGCATTTTGGGAAATGATGCCGCGATAGACACATATTTATGTCAGACAGTGAAACAGTCAAATGTTTGAACACTAGAACAAAAAGCCTCAGAAGCTCAGACTGTCGGTTGTTACGTTGAGGTTTTTCAAGAAATAACTTGCAAAATTCATGAATACTAAAGCTTTTCAACAACAGCTTTTCAAAGCAAATGAAGGAATTTGCATAAAAATATTTTTACATTCACATGAAACACTACCTTTATAGAGCACATGCATGCATGCTAGTAGAAGATGTTCTCCACTGAATGCCTCTTACAAGATTACAATTACAAATACAGTAAAGCTGAATCCATTACACAAAACTTTCATGGGCATCAAAAACTGCCCTTGACTGAATTAATATTTTCAACTCCTTTCAAGTGTAACTCGACTCCACTTTCTTTTAGCTTTGCACTGCAGAAAATATTTGTCTTTTTCCTCCTCACTCATAAATTTCTTTCTTCCTCTCCTTGCAGGCACTCAAATGGCTACCAGATGTGGGTCCAATCTGTTCCTGTTGTCATGGAAACAGGCACCTGAATATGTTTTCTGAGTCCCAGGGTTTTGGCTGACTCATAGGGCCTTGCCATTTCTATAGATTTGGCACAATGAGGTCAGTGGAGCTCATGTTTAGACTGGCAGCCTACATGTCACCGAATGCCCTTCCAACACACCTAACTCTGACTTTTTGACCACGCTAGCCTGTACAGTCGCTCCTTTGTGTTCTCCTGTGCTGCAGTGCCAAAATGAGCTTATCTTTCACATATCAACCTTCAAAACCAAGTCAATAATACAAGAAAGATGACAGCAACTGACATGTGGAAGGTATAACATTTACTACAGTATGTTCACCATCTCAGTGTGTTAGCATGCTAACAGTCTTTTTTGATTTTGATTTAAAAAGGTTATTAAATTAAAATCCATTAGAGAAGCTGAAAATCAAACTGCTAACCTGCGGAGTAGGTGACGACCCATCCTGAGCCACAAGCTGCTGAATGATGAGTTATACAACCGGACATAAATTCTACAGCCATACTGAAAGTCAACACAGCTCAGCAATTTATGAAATATGCATTCATGCATTCACTACACACATGTATGTAGTAAGCGGAACACCATGTTGACAGAGTAGAATTCGTAACAAAGCTGCTTCGCCTTCTGCTTCCAATTACCTATCACATGACCTATCCACCCATCCTTACATCCATCCATTCATCCCGGTTATATCCCTCTTCTCTCCACCAAAAGAGGACACATATGCAGTGCATGATTAACTCCTTAGCACAGAGTTTCCACTGTTTTTCCCCCATGAAAGAAATGCTTGTCCCTATGTGCTGAAGGGGCCAAAGGAACAGTCCCCTGGTCCCTTGGGCTCTTTAAAGAGCCCCTGTGATTGAACAGCTCTGCTGAGCTCCTGCCTCATTCAGTAGAGGTGAGTCATAGAAAGGGTCAAATATCAGTGCACAGTTAAATGAAACTCTTTAGAGTTTACAGCAGGAAATGTAGGTGGTGTATTACTCAGTATATTACTGTTCACGTTATTGTCGTTCTAGCTGACTGTACACTGGAATAAGAAGCCGGGAGGTGAAGCCGTGAGAACAAATGGGGTCTCAGTGATTTAGTATGAAGCCTGTCTCTGTAAGCTGATTAAATGAGGAATGATTTTTAAGTTCTGGTTTGACCAGAGCTATGTGTAGCGCTTTTTTTATTCCAAAGAGGTAAATGAGGAAACACCTATTTATTCACCACACAAAAACGTTTCTACAAACAAAGCATAAAAGACAAAATAGACCCTACATTTGTTTTTGCAGCTTTTCAGACCCTTCTTTACAAAAGTGCACTGTAAGCCTATAAAAACTGGCACAGGCCAGTCAAAACTGCCACGTTATAATTACACAATGTTATGGTTTTAAGTATGTTCTGTATATGCAACAGTTTCACCAGTGGTATCATAGCATCATACAATCCTGTCTGTATGAGTTATTTTTTTATGGCAGGCAGTAATAACAACCAGAGGGAGCAAAAAGGTGACAGATTTTCTGTGTGGTTATTAATGCCATATAATTACACTCTGCATCATGCAGTTAAGTGTTACACAAACAATAACATCAACAAAGAACAATTACAAAGCCAATGTAAACGTTACAGAAAGAAAGTACTCATACTGTAGATTTGTCTCAGAGCCCAAAATAAGTGACATACCAAAAAAGCAAATATAACATGAAAGCCAGTTCACTGACACCAAGGAAAACAGAAGAACTAAAAAGGTCATATAAGCACAGCTTACAAAGATAATAAAAAGTACACAGTGTATACAAGTAGAAAAAGTTGAAAAAATAACCAAAGAAATGTGTGTACCTCGATAAAAGCACATACAACCAAGACAATTGTTCTGATTAGCTATGATTTTTAAAATATTCTTCAGCCCAAAACACAGCCAAGAACATTAACTTACTGCATATTTTTTGTTCATAGCTCATGTGTTGAGGGCTGTTTTCAAAACGGATATCCGCCGGTAGCTGAAATAAAAGGTTGTTCTTTTTGACAACCTAAAATTAGTCCAGTTTAAGTCTCTCACCCCATCATCTTATTTGGTTTGCCTATTTTAGGATCAACACTTGAAAAAATGTTGGCAAACAACATTTAGGTAAAATAGCTTCTTTTGCTTTAACTGATCCACAGTTGAGGCACATTTAACACTCAGGGTGTGGTACCATTTAGCCTTACAATCCTATCATGAAACAATGAAATTAAAGCACCTTGTTACTTCAGCACAAATCCATTAGCTTAAGAGCATGTAATCCTTGAAGGAAAAACATCTTGGACAAGGTTTTTTCACACAATACCCCGACAGCATAAAAAAATTCATTTGAAGTAAGAACAGCTCAAGTGGCAAAAACAAACCTAGTTTCTTGTTTAAACTGAACCAGAAAAAAATGTCCGTCTCCTTCAGTAATCTGTAGAGGATGTTACTACCAGCCATTACTTTAATAAGACTATCTATTGCATTGGATTTACAGGATGATATTACTATGTTTTTGCAAATACAGCACAGGGAAAGTGCAGCTGTTGCAGAAAGTGAGTGAGTTTAAAGTGATTTATAAGCATGACATTAAGTGAAGACACAAGGTAGTTTGGGGTTTCATTTTTGGTATAGTGGTTTAGCAGACTGAATAAAATGTACAGTAAGAGCACAGTGTGGTGATTTGGTGTTAGCAGAAGTATGAAGGAGCTTTTAAACAACACTTTTTGCAACAAAACGGTGTCTGACAGATTTGGACAAAAGAGACCTTTGAGGTGTTAAATTTAGTTGATTAAAGAAAAATATTTGTATTGGTATATCAAACTGAAACCTGCTGTAGTATTAACAACGAGGAGACAAAATGGCTTTCCTTGCCGAAGACAAAAATAAAACAAACAAAATAGCTTGAAATCCTGAGAGGATCTAATTTTCTTGTCATCTTTAGTACCTGTAGTACCTGTGGAAAGCATACAATCTGTAAAAAAAAGTAGCTATATTTCTGACATCTGCATAGCAAATTAGTTGAGAAACCTGAAAAGCAATCCATATATAAATTAAGTAGTGGACATAACACAGAGGAATAGACATGAACGAACTATGGATTATGTTTGTGCACCGCTGTTCTCACAGTTGTGTCCAGCTTAGCCACAGGTTGTGGTCTAAGATTGATACATAGTTGTTACAGAAAAAAGATTCTTGAAATGTAGTACAATGGTCTATAGAGGTCATTATAATACAACTCACCAGTATGACTTGGTTGCACCCTTGATTTAAACACACTCACTCTTCACTGGTCCTGGAGTCACAGCACACTCTCACATAAAAATGTTTAAATTCCTTCATTGAAAAACTATGTGGTTCACCTATCAACAAATCCATTTTAGTTTTTTGGAACTCCATCACAAGTGTTCACTTCACTACCTGTGGTGGCATGATGGCTGTCTTTTGCTGGGGTGTTTTACTTTCAGCTGTATCCAAAGCACCCTCCTTACCTTTCTTCCTGGGTGGTTTTTTTATTGGAGTCTTCTTTGGTGTCAGATCCAACATTGGGTCCCCTGCCCTTGAGCCGTTCAAGTCCTGCTTCTCCGGGCTCTTGGCTTCAGAGACCATAAGGTCAGTGGTGACAGGTGCCACCATCTTCTGGAGGCTTGTTGAGGTGGGCAGCAGGGGCTTGATAGAGCCCTGTTGGCTCGTTCCACTGGAGGGTGTCCTCTTGGTTTTCTGTGGAGGTGTGGGCTTCTCCCGGGTTCCCTTTGGGGTGGAGAGACCGTTGGTCTTTGTCAGGCCTGTCCCCTCATTCCTGTTGATGCTTTGGGTTTTCTCCTTGAGCTGAGCAGCCAGCAGCGTGGCTGCCTCAGAGTTCATATGAGGATGGATGACCTTGGGGCTCTTGGGTGGCTCCTTGGTGGTGTCCTTTGGACTGTCAGCACTCTTTTTCTCAGATGAGGAGCTGTGGAAGCTACTAATCTTCTTGAGGGCATTCTGAACAACACCATTGATGTGCTCCATGTGGCTGGGACTGCTGTGCTCACCCTCAGACTTCTTCCCTCGCTGAGGCTTGTGTTTGCTGACATCTGCCTCCTTCCCCTCCTGTTTCTTCTGCTGCTCACGGTTCCTCTCCTTTGTCTTCTGCCGCTCCTCACTCTTGGATGAGCTATTGCTGGAGCTCCTCTTTTTCTCCTTTGGCACAGTAAGTGCTTTCATTCCCCCCTGCCCCTGCTGCTCTGCCTGGGGAGACCCCGTGGTATTTCCATGTATCCATGATACCTTGGGTTTAGTGGATGGGTCTGGTGGGCGTGGTTTGGGCTTGCCAGGTGAAGGTGGTGGCTTTCCATTGCGCTTAACCTCTGGCGTAGAAGTGCCATCCCCGTCCTTGCCACTACCATCGTCGTCCTTGGACTGCTTAGAGAGGCGGGCAATGCGTGCATAGAGAGCTGCAGTAGTGGACTCAGATCCACTGGTGGAGCCCTCACTGTCAGAGGACTTGAGCAGGGGCTGCTCGCTGCCTTCTGCTTTTGTGGCACTGGTGTCTTTCAGGGAGGTGTACTCCCCTGCATCCTCCTCATTAGGGATGGCCTCTGGCTTCTCTGTTGCTGGGCTGGGGCTGCGCGTCTCTTTGCTTTCATTCACAGATTCTGTAGATCATTGGCAGATCAACAGGTATGAGTGAAAGTTTATCTATCCAATTTTCCAAATGAAAGGACATTTTAAGTTTGCTTTTTAAACTAATTAGAAGATTGTATTAAACAGAGCAGACAATATAAAACATCAATTTCAATTAAGACAAGAGTATCCTATGTATAATAGAAGTAATGCATTCTCACGCTTACAGTACAAATGTTAAGTTGCATTCATGGATAATAAAAGGAACCATATCTTAATACACTTGCATGTTTGGTCTAGCTTATGGTGGCTAATGTTTGCTAAGGTTGGCTAACTTTTGATACAGTAGTTAGTGTCTGTGTCACTGATATTACTGAGTCAGTTCACTGATGTGATTCTGTATATTTATTCTGTGTATTTGTGCAACAATTATACCATTTTTTCCATTTACCATTATCCTGTAATTATCACTTGTGACCACACTCAATGCAGCATGAGACTGCTGTATATCACTGATAATAGTTAAGGTTTTAATTTGAATTGAGGATGTGTCATAGAAGATAGTGTAAAACCCTTGAAGTCAAATTATCATTTGTGGTTTTGGGTTATATGAATAAAAATAACTGTACAAACCAAGGCAGTTAAATAAAAGACATAATTAATAGTCAGTATTGACTAACTAAAGTAGAAAACGTACTACAGAGCATTTCGATCCGAATATTTTTTTACATCCGTGACCTTCACAAACAGCAGAATTCCATTTTTTTCTCTGTAAGGAAACTATTGTCTTCCCACCAGAAAAGCTCTCCCACATGTTATTTAATGAATGATATTTGTACCACTTTATTTGCTAATTGGCATACACAGACTTCAGAGCCAGGGCAGCTTCAATACAAAAGATCCTATCTGTGCAATAATTCAAACCCTTTCATGATGTTTACAGTAATTATTTTGTGCCTGTGGCTTTGGACTAGAAATCAATTGTTCCAAAGCCCTTGGACCATTCAACCAAACTACATCAATCAAACACGTAAAAAGATCCACATAAACAAAACCTGACTTGCACTGTCAGGCTTCCAGAATAGAATCTGATGGAGTGGGTGTTTTCCACCAAACTTTAAGACGTGAGTCATTGTTTGGATTTGTGCCATATGCTGACTTGACGATTCCATTTCCTGTTTATACTCTCCTTATCCTTGAAGCAAAAGCTGAACCTAGATGGAATATGATAAAGAGTCAACCACCTCCATAATGAGATTTACAGAAGTGGCTGAGTCACTGCATGGTCACAGTAGCGATCCTGACTTCTTCAGAAATGTGTTACTCTGTGTGTGTGTGTGTGTGTGTGTGTGTGTGTGAAGGTCCCTGCAAGCCAAAGACAAGTCATGGAATTATGAGCATCATTCCAGATAACTAAGCTGTTTTATTATTCTGATAATGACTCACCTTCATGGGGCACACAGTACACTGGGCCCTCGTCTCCGCTCTCAAAGGAAGAGAAGGACTCCTGGGATGACCAGGAGGAGGGGGAGGGCTGCTCAGCTGCTGAGGGGGGCTCGACAAAGCTGCAGTTGAAGGTGTTCTCGGGGTCGTGGTGGGCTACTGAAAACAGGAAACAAATGCAGAACCTAAAAATTCAGCCAGAGTACTGTACCTGTCAGAAGAACAACAGTCTCTTCTCTTTCACACTCATAACTGCAGCTCTGAATTAAAGAAAGTATTGGTTTAAGTGAATCTGCAAAAACACTGGGCTTTACTAATTTTGTGTACGAGTTAACAAAGGCTCCAACAATATGAGTTTTTGAAAACCAATGTAGATAATTTGGTATATAAGCTGTTCATTATTTTTACATCTATGGAAAAACCAATTCAAGTTTTCACAAAAAACAGCATTCTGACCCAAGATACAAAACAAAACTTCTCAATTAACACAAGATTACCTGCACAGTTTTTTGTGGGTCAGCAGCTCCTAGTGACCAAACTACCAGGGAACATCAGTCCTTTAGAATATTACCACAAAAAGCTACTTAATTGTTGATGTTCGGGTCCTAAATCTTTCATTCATTTTTGAATGAATACATAATTTATAAATATGTGAGCTATTAACTTGTGTTAATTTAGACTCAATCTACAAGATGCTAAGGTACAGTATACATTCAAATTTAATTAAATAACATAAAAGTGAAAATGCAAATAGGTCTTAAGAATCCAACCATTTTCTAAACTGCTTAGTCCCAAACAGGGTCACGGAGCCAATCCAGGCCAGCTGTGGGGTACACCCTGGACAGGTCGCCAGTCCATCGCAGGGCTAACACACAGACGAACAACCACTCACACACACAGTCACTCCTACGGGGAACTTAGAGACACCAATCAACCTGTGCTGCAAGTCTATGGACTGTGGGAGGAAGCCGGAGCACCCGAAGAGAATCCACACAAGCACGGGGAGAACATGCAAACTCTGCACAGAAAGGCCCCGGGTCGGCTGGGGCTCAAACCCGGAACGATCTTGCTGTGAGGCAACAGCGCTAACCACCACACCACTGCGCTGCCCGGGCTTATGAATATGCATCATTTTAGCATAGCATAAAGAAACAGCTAGTCTGTATACCTGCTACCATGTATTTGCCAAAATATGTACTATTTCTTTAAAATGTTAGGTTCTGTAATAGCTAAGAATCTCTCATTACAACAGAAACATAATATCTGATAAAATAATATGTGATATACTCCAGTATATTGTTCCCAAGTTAAACTGCTGAAATGCTAATGTCATATGTTTTTTTTTTTTTTATTAGTGTGGGCTTTTCATCTTCTTCCACTGAATCCACTCCCTCAACAATATGTAGGTCAAGTCATGTTTCTCTCTGGCTGTCTCTCTCTCTCCAGCTTCCTTCCT